CGTCAATGTTATGAAATTTTTATTGTTGATAATTATTTTAATAATTTCGAAAAACTCATTTCTTCTTTCGATTTCTTAATTATTTTGTGAATTGTTATGAAATTTTCATTGTTGATAATTATTTTAATAATTTCGAAAAACTCATTTCTTCTTTCGATTTCTTAATTATTTTGTGAATTGTTATGAAATTTTCATTGTTGATAATTATTTTAATAATTTCGAAAAACTCATTTCTTCTGTCGATTTCTTAATTATTTCGTGAATATATTATTATGGAACTTTCATTGTCGATAATTATTTTAATAAATTAACGAATTTTGCAAAATATTTCGAAAAACTCATTTCTTCTCTCGATTTTGTAATTATTTTGTGAACGTATTGTTATGGAACTTTCATTGTCGATAACTATTTTAATAAATTGACGAATTTTGCAAAATATTTCGAAAAACCCATTTTTCTTCTCGATTTCTTAATTATTATGTGAATATATTATTAAGAAACTTTGATTATCGATGATTATATTTAATAAATCGAATTTTAGAGATATTTAAAATATTCTTCTACTTATTATTACATCCAATATTTCGAAAAAAAAAATTCATTCTTCCTTTTAATTTCTTAATTATTATGTAAATATTATTAAGGAACTTTCATTGATGTTGATGATTATATTCAATAAATCGAATTTTAGAGATATTTAAGATATTCTTCTACTTATTATTACATGCAATATTTCGAAAAAAACTTAATCTTCCTTTCGATTTCTTAATTATTACGTAAACATATTATTAAGAAACTTTCATTGTCGATGATTATATTTAATATTATTATATTTAATATTATATTATATTATATTTAATATTATTATTAAACATATTATTAAGAAACTTTCATTATCGATGATTATATTCAATAAATCGAATGAATTTTAAAGATATTTAAAATATTCTTCTACTTATTATTACATCCAATATTTCGAAAAAAACTCATTCTTCCTTTCGATTTCAATTCAATTATCACGTGAATGCACTATCATGGAACAACTCATCGATTATCAAAGATAAAAGTTTCATTGTTACCCGTGCACGATTTAATATAAACCACGCTTCATCGATCGGAGCAAAGGATGGAGGAAGATGGTCGCGTGACCGGTGATGTTAATGGAAAGTTGAATCTCTCGATTTCTTTGTTCGGCCGAAGATGAGCGGCCGGGCGGAAAAAGGAAGAGAGGAAGAAAACAGTTATCAAGGAGGAGGCACTTAGCCGCAAGCTAAGGGGGGAAATTAATGAAGGAAGCGAAGGAAGAAGGCATTTTTCAATTTGAGAGGAGCGAAGGAACTGTTTTAGCTTAAGTGCCTCGCCGCCCTTCCATCTTTCTTCAAACTTGTATCCGCCATTTTCTCTGTTTCTCGATTTGTAAACGATACATCATCGCTCGATCATCGTCTAATCCAATGATTAATTTTATTGAATCGAAGAGTTTTGCAAAATATTTCGAAAAACTCTCGATTTTTTAATTATTTCGTGAATGTATTGTTATGGAACTTTCATTGTCGATAATTATTTTAATAAATTTTGCAAAATATTTCGAAAAACTCTCGATTTCTTAATTATTTCGTGAATGTATTGTTATGGAATTTTCATTATTGATAATTATTTTAATAATTTCGAAAAACTCATTCTTCCTTTCGATTTCAGTTTCTTAATTATTTCGTAAACGTATTGTTATGGAACTTTCATTGTCGATAATTATATTTAATAAATCGACGAGATATTCGAGAAGAAGAATTATGGAATTGAAAAAAAAATGTGTCGAGTAACAAATGTGCAGAGTAATATAGCAAACCATATATATCAATTATATAATATAATTGTAATATAAATTACAATTGTAATTAAATATATATAATTGTATATATATCATACTCGACATTGTATTATTACATTATTATTAAAAATTGATAGAGATAAAAATGGATTGAAAAAAATGTGTCGAATAATAAATGTGCAAATCATATATATCAATTGCATACAATTGTAATTAAATATATATAATTGTATATATATTATACTCGACATTGTATTATTATATTATTATTAAAAATTGATAGAGATAAAAATGGATTGAAAAAAATGTGTCGAATAATAAATGTGCAAATCATATATATCAATTGCATACAATTGTAATTAAATATATATAATTGTATATATATCATACTCGACATTTATATTATTACATTATTATTCTAAAAATTGATAGAGAAATGGATTATGGAATTGAAAAAAATATATGTCGAGTAATAAATGTGCAATATGGCAAACCATATATATAAATTACAATTGTAATATATATAATAAAAATAAAAAATATATATAATTGTATATATATTATACTCGACATTATATTATTATATTATTATTAAAAATTGATAGAGATAAAGATGGATTGAAAAAAATGTGTCGAATAATAAATGTGCAAATCGTATATATCAATTGTAATTAAATATATATAATTGTATATATATCATACTCGACATTGTATTATTACATTATTATTAAAAATTGATAGAGATAAAGATGGATTGAAAAAAATGTGTCGAATAATAAATGTGCAAATCGTATATATCAATTGTAATTAAATATATATAATTGTATATATATCATACTCGACATTGTATTATTACATTATTATTAAAAATTGATAGAGAAATGGATTATGGAATTGAAAAAAATATATGTCGAGTAATAAATATGCAATATGGCAAACCACAAATTCGCGGAAATTTGTCTGTCGGCAAGGGGTAAATGGCCGATGTTGTTTCCTCTTCTCGAAGAAGAAATCGTTCTTTCGATTGCAGACCGATTACGATCGACACTTGGAGGAATTGTTGGAGCGGGTGGAGGCACTGTTGATCGGAATCCTGAGGAAGAATTTGAGAAAGGAAAATTTGGATCAGGTAGCCCACTATCATGCCCTCCTGGAGAACGTTCGACATTTGTCCAAAGGTGAGTCTTATTCTTCCTTCTTCTTTATTGAAATCATCTAATGGAAAATAGAAATCTATTCGCATCGAATAAAGTGTCCCAAATTATTTTCCTTTCTTGTTCTTTTCGAAATTATATGTTATATATATTTTCGACATTTGTCTAAAGGTGAATCATCTAAAATCACCTAAAAAATAGAAATCCATTCAAATAAAATTCCAAATTATTTTTCCTTCTTTTCGAAAAATCATCAGACATACGTTATACATATTTTCGATATTTTTCCTTTAAAATCATCTAACGAAAAATAGAAATCCATTTAT